GTTAGGACACCTCTTCCTGGAAGGTGTGGCTGCGAGGACCAGGCTCTCTCCCTCCCTCCCTCGCACAGGATGGAAGGAAGCACAGAGCAGGCCTACAAAGCTTGGCCCTGATTGTCTGCCCAGATTGCTCTTAAGGTGGAAGTTTCATGTTGAGAAGAGGCCAAATCGATTAGGTCTTATTAGCCTCTCAGCACTTACTTTTAGCACAAGGTGCCACACGGGAGAAAGGAACGCTGTCCTAACCCTCAGCTCCTGTGGGCATCACAGGTTCTGCCAGGAGGGAAAGGCGGTTCTACAGACCATGCACCTGGCCATCCTGCCCGAGGAGCTGACCTCATTTGGAAAAGAGTCAGGCGCGGTTCATCACTAAAGAGAAGAAACCACAGAGACCTTGGAGGAGAGCGCCTAAGAGGGAGCACAGCTCTGTGATCATGGTAGCAAAGAGCAGCACAATCTGAGAAGACAGGGCCTGGGGAGACAGGCCGGCTTCACGGTCAGTTCTGGGGTCCAGGAGGCTGTGGCAAGTGCTAGCCTGAACCCTGGCAGGAGAAATCAGACGTAAAAACTGTCCCCGAGTCACACGCAGATCCAGCCACCAAGGACGCAAGCCTCACCTTTGTGAGGGGATTAAGCACAAACACTGGCTGAACAATGAGCAACCAACGCTGAGCAGAGGCAACCCTTAGGAAGCGGGGCATAAAAATAAAGTCACAAGCTTCCCCAAGCGTTTTGGATACTGTGTGCGCGCGTGCGCCCAAGACTGTGCCCTTCCAGGAGTCATCGGGCGGGGAGTTTCGGCCTGCGAGTGCCTGCCTGAACCTGGCACAAGAGCCTGGGGCGTGAACAGCAGTAGTACTGCAAAGCCGCGCACACACACAGGATGGTCAAGGCTAACATCCGATGGCAAAATGTGCCTCATGCCGACCCAGGGGTAATGTCCAGGCAGCAGCTGACACAACCCACCACCTTTCACTCTAAAGTATAATAATAATAAAAATCTGAGCATAGTCATTAGATATTCTAGGTGATTTTTCTGTTATAAATGTGTTAACACAAAAATTAAAGGAAGATATGATGATGGATCATTAAATAGCAAATAACAATAAGATAAACCCTACTAAAAAGAAAGAAATGGAAACTCTGTAGCTGCAAAGGGTAACAACTCAAAAACTCACTGGAGAGAGGACGATGCCAACAAGACTTGGACAGG